TTGCTTTATGAATCTGGGTGCTCCTGTATTGGGTGCATATATATTTAGGATAGTTAGCTCTTCCTGTTGAATTGATCCCTTTACCATTATGTAATGGCCTTCTTTGTCTCTTTTGATCTTTGATGGTTTAAAGTCTGTTTTATCAGAGACTAGTATTGCAACCCCCGCTTTTTTTTTGTTCTCCATTTGCTTGGTAAATCTTCCTCCATCCCTTTATTTTGAGCCTATGTATGTCTCTGCGTGTGAGATGGGTCTCCTGAATACAGCAGACTGATGGGTCTTGACTCTTTATCCAGTTTGCCAGTCTGTGTCTTTTAATTGGAGCATTTAGTCCATTTACATTTAAGGTTAAGATTGTTATGTGTGAACTTGATCCTGCCATTATGATATTAACTGGTTATTTTGCTCGTTAGTTGATGCAGTTTCTTCCTAGCCTCGATGGTCTTTACATTTTGGCATGTTTTTGCAATGGCTGGTACCGGTTGTTCCTTTCCATGTTGAGTGCTTCCTTCAGGGTCTCTTGTAAGGCAGGCCTAGTGGTGACAAAATCTCTAAGCATTTGCTTATCTGTAAAGGATTTTATTTCTCCTTCACTTATGAAACTTAGTTTGGCTGGATATGAAATTCTGGGTTTAAAATTCTTTTCTTTAAGAATGTTGAATATTGGCCCCTACTCTCTTCTGGGTTGGAGAGTTTCTGCCGAGAGATCTGCTGTTAGTCTGATGGGCTTCCCTTTGTGGGTAACCCGACCTTTCTCTCTGGCTGCCCTTAAGATTTTTTCCTTCATTTCAACTTTGGTGAATCTGGCAATTATGTGTCTTGGAGTTGCTCTTCTCGAGGAGTAGCTTTGTGGCGTTCTCTGTATTTCCTGGATTTGAATGTTGGCCTGCCCTACTAGGTTGGGGAAGTTCTCCTGGATGATATCCTGAAGAGTGTTTTCCAACTTGGTTCCATTTTCCCCCTCACTTTCAGGCACCCCAATCAGACGTAGATTTGGTCTTTTTACATAATCCCATACTTCTTGCAGGCTTTCTTCATTTCTTTTTCTTCTTTTTTCTTTTGGTTTCTCTTCTCGCTTCATTTCATTCATTTGATCCTCAATCGCAGATACTCTTTCTTCCAGTTGATCAAGTCGGTTACTGAAGCTTGTGCATTTGTCACGTATTTCTCGTGTCATGGTTTTCATCTCTTTCATTTCGTTTATGACCTTCTCTGCATTAATTACTCTAGCCATCAATTCTTCCACTTTTTTTTCAAGATTTTTAGTTTCTTTGCGCTGGGTACGTAATTCCTCCTTTAGCTCTGAGAAATTTGATGGACTGAAGCCTTCTTTTCTCATCTCGTCAAAGTCATTCTCCGTCCAGCTTTGATCCGTTGCTGGCGATGAGCTGCGCTCCTTTGCCGGGGGAGATGCGCTCTTATTTTTGGAATTTCCAGCTTTTCTGCCCTGCTTTTTCCCCATCTTTGTGGTTTTATCTGCCTCTGGTCTTTGATGATGGTGATGTACTGATGGGGTTTTGGTGTAGGTGTCCTTCCTGTTTGATAGTTTTCCTTCTAACAGTCAGGACCCTCAGCTGTAGGTCTGTTGGAGATTGCTTGAGGTCCACTCCAGACCCTGTTTGCCTGGGTATCAGAAGCAGAGGCTGTAGAAGATAGAATATTTCTGAACAGCGAGTGTACCTGTCTGATTCTTGCTTTGGAAGCTTCCTCTCAGGGGTGTACTCCACCCTGTGAGGTGTGGGGTGTCAGACTGCCCCTAGTGGGAGATGTCTCCCAGTTAGGCTACTCAGGGGTGAGGGACCCACTTGAGCAGGGAGTCTGTCCCTTCTCAGATCTCAACCTCCGTGTTGGGAGATCCACTGCTCTCTTCAAAGCTGTCAGACAGAGTCGTTTGCGTCTGCAGAGGTTTCAGCTGTGTTTGTTATTGCCCTGTCCCCAGAGGTGGAGTTACAGAGACAGGCAGGTTTCCTTGAGCTGCTGTGAGCTCCACCCAGTTCGAGCTTCCCAGCAGCTTTGTTTACCTACTTAAGCCTCAGCAATGGCGGGCGCCCCTCCCCCAGCCTCGCTGCTGCCTTGCCGGTAGATCACAGACTGCTGTGCTAGCAATGAGGGAGGCTCTGTGGGTGTGGGACCCTCCCGGTCAGGTGTGGGATATGATCTCCTGGTGTGCCTGTTTGCTTAAAGCGCAGTATTGGGGTGGGAGTTACCCGATTTTCCAGGTGTTGTGTGTCTCAGTTCCCCTGGCTAGGAAAAGGGATTCCCTTCCCCCTTGCGCTTCCCAGGTGAGGCAATGCCTCGCCCTGCTTCAGCTCTCGCTGGTCGGGCTGCAGCAGCTGACCAGCACCGATCGTCCGGCACTCCCCAGTGAGATGAACCCAGTACCTCAGTTGAAAATGCAGAAATCACCGGTCTTCTGTGTCGCTCGTGCTGGGAGTTGGAGACTGGAGCTGTTCCTATTCGGCCATCTTGCTCCGCCCCTCGATATCTATAGTTTCTATTGGTGACCAAGTCACAGGTACTGCTGATACACATTGTGACCTGCTTTCTTAATTGAAAAAAATGTTACCTTTCAGCTAAAGGTTAAAAAGTAGGCCAGGTACAGTGGATACTCTGAATTATCTCCGACAAGGTACCCTAGCACCAGTCTGAGAACTTCAGCTCTATATACAGAGAAGGACCAACATCAAAGGCAGGTATCAAGACTAGGCACAAAACACTGTGTATTCCTTGGTTTGCCCAAGAATATGGACCCTGAGCGGCACACCCCCAGGGCCTACCCTCTGGCCCCTAAAAGAAGGATGCTGCAACCCAAATGAAAAGATAACTGTTTCAGACTCACGAAATCATTGCCCTTTCTGGAGAACCATCTAAACACCACCAGATCTGTCTGTAGTAGCTTTTCTCTGCTCTCATATCCTGAGGACCTCAAAGACCTCTCCCAAACACATGATGCCTTCTGTCTCCCAGACAAAAGATTTAGGGAACACTCTCAGTAAAGTCTTTCTAAGAAAAATGTTGAGAAAAGAAAAGAAATCTAAGACAGATTAAAGATGTTTGCCTAGAATCTACTTTCACACCTCCAATGAAGTGTTAAGATAAAAAAAATATATATAGTTATGATATGTTACTTTAAGGATATGCCAAATGTTGTTCCCAAAACATCATATGCAACATCACTATCCCAATTGTTTGCCGAACTGGGCAGTGCTCAACTCTAGAAAGGAGGGTTTTCTAAGGAAGATTTTTCAGGCTGTAAAGGATGAATCTGAAAGCCACTGAACAAAATGTTTTCAGAGCCAGGAATAAGTTTCTAAAATGATACAATAAATGTCAATTCAAACCACCTTCTACCTCCTGTGATGTCTGTGCAGCAAGTGATCAAGATAAGACATGGAAGAAAAGCTAGGAAGAAGAGAAAATAATACAAAGTGGGAGCCCTATAAGAAAACTGAAAGAGAATAGAATTCAAGGCCAAGTCTGCCTCTGTCATCTTCCTGCTTTGTGACTTTGGGCAAGTTTCTTAAGCTCTCATATCCTTCCCTCACCATGAGCATTAAATGAGGTCACATGTATAAAAGTACTTCCCAAATCATGTTTTAAAGATATAAGGCAACAGTATTCCACGCATGAACGTGACACAGAGCAGTATCCCAGGATCACGAATCCTAGCAATTCTGGAGTGACACTCAGTAGCGTCACTCGAGGGAAAGAGAAGAACAACTCAAACCTGTTGATGAGTAAAGCCACATCATCAGCTCAGTCCTATGCCTCCTTAGGAAGGAAAAGTAGAAGGAAGATGAGACTGACTTTCCAACCACCAGCACCACCATGGCTCCAGATCAAGATGTTGATGGAGACTCTGACTTTGCAAGCCCCTCACAGATGAAGGACCAGCTGCAGACCAACACTTTCCTTTAACCCTTCCAGACAATGACAGGCATCTTACCTTGAACTTTCCCATGATCCTTTATCTACAGCTGGAAAGCATGACTTCTGTTCAATCTGTTTTACTACCCACTGTCTAGTATTCATCTTGTGCCCCCAACATGGAAATGGCCAAGCAACAAGTATAGTGGGAGCAGGAGCCCCTACTCCAGCTTGAAGTGTATGACACTGCCTCATATCTTAAGCAGCCAAGAGAGGGCTGTGCCCTGTGGCAACTGGCACCAAGGGCTGCTTGCTTCAGTGCTCTCTAGGATGTCCACTCTGCCTAGGACACCAACTGCCAGTAAAGCAGATCTTCAATCCACCCCACCCTTACCTTCCCTGGGGGACCCAAGATCTTAACACCTGCAGTGAAGGAAATCCATGGAGGCCACCAACAGAGAAGACCTCAGGACTCCCTATGTTTGAGCCTAAACACACCTTCCAAGAGCCTCCACACCTGACAGGTGCTACAGGGCGAAACTGCCATTAATTATCATGGCCTCACGCAGCCCAAATGGTACAGACACAGAACAAGAAGGAAAGGGGTTTTACTGGTAAAGGGATCTGCCTGGAAATCTTCTATGATCCAGAAGATAAACCAAATTTCATTCTAATTGCTTTTCAACAAGATAAACAAAGTGGACAAAGCTGACAGCCTCTTCAACACACAGGCCTCTAACCTTCAATGTGAGTTTTCATAATATAATGGATACAAACCCATTATGAGGGGTCACCAGTTGCACGAAATGGCTGCATGGTAGGCTGGCTGAGTACGGTGATAAGATAGCTCAAGAAGGGCTTCGATAGGTAACCACAAGACTGGCAGTGACAGGAAGTAGTGGTCTGAATACTTGAACATGGCCTGGCGACTTCAAAACTTAGAGTCAAATGACAGTACTGGTCATGTGATATTATTCTTGTTTAAATAACTTACAACTTTGTTAACCTGAATCTGACACTCTAGCTTCTTAGCTTCTTCCCCCTCCTGACAAAAGCAACTGCTTTTATGAAAGCATTTTGAGAACACAGTTTCTTTAGACAGAATGGCTGCATTAGAGGTGCAGGGACAGTACCTTAAAGGAGTATTTGCGGCTTATGCGATCCTCAGGGGCCACAGGCGAGATCACGTAGCTGGGCAAGGGGATGCTCCCGAGGACCGCTTCTTCTCGGCTATCTTTGAATGGAAAAACGCATCAGAACAACCTTCTGGGCAGCTTCCCTGGGCTCATCCATTCCACTGCTTCCAGAACTTCAGCCAGGTTGTTTCCTCCCCTTGTAATGTCCATCCTCCCCTGACCCACACACAGGCAAAGCTCTATCCATTCTTTTTTTTTTTTTTTTTGAGATGGAGTCTCGCTCTTGTTGCCCAAGCTGGAGTGCAAGGGCACGAGCTCAGTTCACTGCAACCTCTGCCTCCTGGGTTCAAGTGATTCTCCTGCCTCAGCCTCCCAAGTAGCTGGGATTACAGGCACCCCCCACCATGCCTGTCTAATTTTTGTATTTTTAGTGGAGACAGGGTTTCACCATGTTGGCCAGGCTGGTCTCGAAGGCCTGACCTCAGGTGATCCACCTGCTTGGCCTCCCAAAGTGCTGGGATTACAGGCATGAGCCATAGCGCCCGGCCAGCCCTACCCATTCTTAAAAGCCTATCTCCTCTCTTTTTTCTAAGAAGCCTCCTCAGATTCTGCCATGATGGAATTCACTTCTCAGTCCCCCTGAACTGCTTTGAAAGCACCAATAGCAGTCTAGCCTAAGCTCTTTCTCCACATTTTGAGACCTCCCTCTTAACAACACCTAGTCCCTAACTTTATGTTCTGGGGCTCCACAGAAGCTCAGATGGCCAATTCAATTCACCAGTTGCCCATCCAACGTCCAATAAATCCAGATGACAGGTTACAAAATACAATCAATGATCCACACTTCTCATTTCTCCAGAGTACCTCAAAGGTGGACCTATGTCCCAAATGGGACAGAAACAGAAATGACTCTGAATCTTGAGACCCTTAGTAGCAGGCAAACTGGATTCTATTTACTTTAACCCAACAGACTGAACTTCCTGTGTCAGGACTGGTAAAACCGAAGACACCAACCATCCACATATGTAAAACTAAACACTTTGGCAGGGTAATAAGCTACTTGTTAGCTCACCTTTATAGTAAAATAAGCAGTAATCAGCAAGCACAAACCACCTCCTTTTCCACAGCCTCATCCCAGAACTGTCCTGCAAAGCAAAGAAAACTAGTCAGGGTCATATCTGGGCATACTGTTGTCCCTTTCCAAGAATGCACAACCTGATTCCAGAACCAAATATTTGCCCATATTCACTCTTTCTTTTAATAAATAAAAAACATGTTATTGAATAACCATTCTTTGAATAGGACATTAGAACTTAGATTAAATAATGGTTTATCCTAAGGAAGCAGGGTTTTTATTTTTGTCTCCTAGAAACAAACTAATGTATAATATTATAAGCCACTTTCTTCTAGAAAGTAAATTAAGAAAGGAATCAGTTCTTAACAAAAAGGTTTTTGTTTGTTTATTATTTAGGTGGCTACGCTATCAAATACCTCCATTTATGCTGACTGGAAAACTGAATTTACATTGAACTATTAAAAAGAGTCTAAGTTACCTAATGAATTAAGTGAGGCAAAGTTCTCATTAGACTATGCTCAGTTCTGTGCCATATAGGATGTATTCTGCTGTTGTGTTTTCCTTCCATTCAATATAAAAGGATTTGGATTCTCTTTGCTATCAAATTGTCTCATAAGAAAAATCTGTCTTTACTCATCTGAAATGTAAATGTTTATATTTATCAATAATGTTTTAAATTATTGTGAATTTTTTTAAAAACATGGCAAAGGCAGAAAAACAGAATGTTTTAGGGTGAGTGTTCTCTCAAACCTAGGAAAACCTCAGAGCATCTTTTAGTTTTAGAGATGGCTGTTCACATCTGTAATCCCAGTGTTTTGAGAGGCTGAGGCAGGAAGATCACCTGAGGCTAGGAATTCAAGACCAGCCTGGGCAACATAGTGATACCCCATCTGTAAAAAAAAATTTTTTTAATTAAAAAAATAGAGATGGCTGTTAAATTGTCTTCCTTCTGCAGAAGTTTTTGACAAGCTTGAAAAAAATCTAACAATTTCCAAACTGAAATACAACATGAGGATTGTTCCTCCTCTACTTACTAAAATGCTAAAAGCAAATTTAACTTGATGATTTCAACTGTTTATCAGTTTTATCTTCTGCAAATCAAGAGATGATTTCTAAGGTATTGGCACATGATATTTGCTTTGTCTGGAGACCTCTTATCTATGCTTCCATGCCTGGTTCAAATATCACTTCCTCCAGGAAGCCTTTCTGGACAACCCCCAGTATAGCCACTGTCTGTTGTGTGTCCACAGCACACAGATCCCTTTGGTTACAGTACAGCCAAAGGGCCTGGGCTAGGTGTTGGGAATTATTTACAAATACTTCCCTCTCTCTCCATATGTCAAAGGAGCATCCTTTGTTTAACGGGGACAGGGATGCAAACGGAAGAAGTCAGAGGGTTAAATGACTCAAGTGAGAAAAAGACATGGGCAAATGTAAGAAAAGAGGCAGGACAGGACTGTGAGGGGCAAGTGGGAGCAAGAGAGGGTGGTACCAGGAGTGTCCAACAGAAGAGGCAGGGAGCTGTTGCAGCTGCCATAGGGCCAGAGTTGCAGAGGAAGATTTTAAGGGGACTTTTGGGATTTCTCCTGTGTGCTATGCAATGTAATGCCCTCCTCTGTCTTCCCACAAAGCTTCACCAAAACTTACATTGCAGCTCTGACATTTTTGGATGCTATGCTAGGTGCGAGACGGGGCTGAGTGACAATGTGACAAGTGAGAGATATGCTATCTGCTTCTCCTGGTAGCTGATGAGTTCCTCAAGGGCAGGAACCACGTTACTTTCTCTTGATACTTGCTCTTAGCAGCTTAGGACATGGCAGGCACTTTGCAGCATAGATGAATGAATGACCAGCAAGGAGAGAAGAAGAGCAAAAGAGACAGGGTCTCTAGCTCTGGGAACTCGCAACCCAGCCATGAACAGAGGACCCCAGGCAGGTCAACTGGCAGCAGGGATTCCAATGAAGAATGACCTCAGCCCACAGAGCCGACAAGACTTCCTGACTGAATGCATGTGGGGGAAGGAGGATCTGGTGATAGTGCTGAGGTTTCCAACCTGAGTGCCTGGGAGAATGGTGGTAACATTACTAAGATCTGGAGAAAGCAGTCCTGGGGAAATGGCAGGCCAGGGTAGTGAGGAGATAATGAGCTGAATTTGGCTGAATTGGAATTTGAGATGCTAGGTGGATATGTATGCTAGACAAGGGGGAGAGGAAAAGATGAAAATTTTCAGCCAAATAATAACAAAGAATCTTTGATATCAGGAAGGCCAGGGCAAGTAGAGGACTGGCAGGAAGGCTGGATTCAGGCTGACCACCCGCACTGTGGCCTGGACCCCAGGGCAGCCAATAGCACCAGGGGCCAAAGTGGTCAAGTGGGTTTTGGGAGAGAAGCTGTAACCATTGAGCAGACAGTTCACTCATAAGAACAAACAGCAAATAATGCAGTGCAGCAGGTAGAATCCAGCTGCCTCAGACAAACTCAGTAACAGAAAGCTTATGTGCCCGTCCCTAGCTTCCTGGGGACTGGGAAAAGAGAGAACTCAGTCAAAGCCATTGCCTCCACAATTCTCACTCCTCGGCATCCTCACCTGCTTGTGCAGCCAGCCCCTCACCACCACGGGAACATTGGGGTTCCTCCGAATGGCCTGGTCTCTCTTCCCAAAGCTGTGGATTTTATTGCTGGACTTTATGATCTACGAAAAAGCAGACTGAATTTTAGCAGCAGGGAATTTAAGGTGACATAAAAAAGCACTTGTATGTTAGGAGGACCGTCGGCTCTCTCTGCTTCACTCTAAACGGCAGCACCCTTTGATCAAATGAACAGCCAGGAGACAGGGAATGGGCGTGCACATGGCCACAGCATTCTAATTAAAAGGCAAGCCCAAGACCTGGCAAACCTCCCAGCTGGGTCACAGAAAAAAAAATTAAAAGGAATTTTTCAATCAACTTTCAGCAGCAGTTGTTGGCTATAATATGTTCCGTGGTTTTCTGAAGCAAAGCTAATTTTTGGTCACAGCTTTTTGCCAATTTCCAGATATTTACCCTTCCTATCTGGGTTCATCCCTTGGCACTCTCCTCCTCTCCTCGATGCTGGTTCTTTTCCCTGATCCTTAGTGTTTCTACACCTGGAGCACAAAAACTTCTGGGTCCTTCCCAAGGGCACCCTTTCTCAGGGCCTCATGTCACCAAATCTCTCCAGGCTCTCCTTAACACACAGCTACATGTAAACAGAAACGTGGCCCTCCCAACCACACGAGGAAAGTGAAGAACATGCTCAAGGACCTAGACACCAGTGCTGGATCTGTCAGCAATCACCTGTTTTGTTGCCCAAGGGACATACCCCTCTTGGCCTCAATTTCCTAATCTGTCATTCGGGGAGAACACTTCTATGGGTCTCTCTCACAAAACTATAGTGAAGATCAAATAGACTGCTGGTTACAAAGGGGCTTGGCAAAATATAAAAGAGGGGAAGGAAGGAACAAGGGGCCAGGAGCTCACCTTGGGTCCAGGCTTGGCCTCCAGGGTGGAGGCGGTCCCAGCCGTGGATGTTTCACTGACCATGCTGGACGGTCTTTGGTTTCTCTCTTGCTTCGACATATGTGGATTTGGCCTGTGGGAAGACAGGGGATTCCAGTGAGTAAGAGCTGAGCTGCAGAGTAGGAAGTGCAGTAAGATCAGCTTCAGGTAGGAATTGTTGCTGGGCCTTAGAACAACCCAACCCTGATTGTTTGGAGGCTGCCTGACTCCAGACTGCAGTCAGAGGGCTGCGATGTCCAGCCTGCCCGTATGTTTCAGGGAATCAAGAGGATGACAAACAAGCACATCTCCACAGCCTGACACCCCAACAAAGGAGGACAGACTGTCATCCCTGCTGTTGTCTGGAAGTCCCCACACTCACTCTCTTAATCAGGTGTCTGTGACAACTGCCCCATCTGATGGGCATGCACAGATGTGCCACTCTTCTCAGCACACAAGAGCAATCCATGCCCTCACACACACCTCCATTTCCCTGGCTCCCAAAAGAAGCTGTTTATAATTAGTAACAAGAAATCACTTGGCGCACACAACCACACCCCCAGATACACACAGAGAATCCCTTACATAAATGCCAGTGGGGCTTGTCTCCCAAAATAGACTACTCAACAAAGAGTCCTATTCTGGGAACACTCCATTTGCCCCAAAATAGAGCTATCAGAGATATTAACCCATTGTGCTATGCCTGGAGAGCAGGAAGAAATGAAATAAGCCTTGGGCCCCCAGTAAGAATCTCTGGGGCTTCCCCATTAGCATCCCAGACACATGGAACTTCCCACCAAGAAGCTGCCCTGGGATGGCCAACTCTCTGGGAGCAACTCAAGAGCCACTGAAGAGTCCTCCTTACCTGCCTCCGCAGATACCCAGCATTTGCCAGTCTTTCAAGGCAGTGGTGACAAATCCCTCCACACAAATCCAGTACCTATTCCTGGACAGCTGGATGCCTGATGCCAAGACCCTGCTAAGTCCAGGATCAGCAAGCCTTCCTCAAAGTGGAAGTCTCCACGTTCTGTCCACTGCTCCGATAGGCAACAGAATCCAGGTCATTGGAGACCAGGCAGACCACAGAAAACTGAGGCTGTTTGCCTGAAGAGTGGAAAAAATCTGCTTTGGAGGCCTGGGCAAGGACCCTGAGGAGATGGAGCTAGAGGATCCAGGCAGGACGCAACTGACGAAGCAGCATTCAGAAAGTCCTTCACACGAACACTTTTAGAGTGCTGCAATGAGGGAACATCCTAGTTCCCACCATGGAAATATACTGTTTTCTTCGAAGACCCTGCTGCTCAAAAGATAATGATCCTTTCTGTGCCCTGAGACAGAGCCCAATATCCTACACCACAAGGGAAGTTCTCTGCAGAAGTAGCAGTGACTACTGCACTTCCCAAGCAATGCCAGCAGCAGGACCACTGTAGCAGACACCAGCTTCCCAAAGGGCTGGGCCCTGTGGGATGCTTGGCAGCTGGAGACGCAAGTCCTACCAGGCAGAAAGAGCACTGGCTCCTTATCAGTTCAGACACTCACTCCAGATTCCACGCCCCCGGCCTCCAACCCAGCCAGACTTTTGTTGCTGCTCCCCACTCAGAGGGAGAATGTCACCACATTTGCTGTTGGCAGAGGCTGTATGCAACAAGATAACTGCTGATCAGGGGCAGGAAGGCGGCCCAAAAGGCTGCCTTGTCCACCCCCTTTCTCCAGACAGAACTATGTCCAAAACATCCCGGAACCTGGTCTTGCCTGACTCTTCAGACTTCTGGAGGGTCAGACAAGGAAAAAGAAGTCTCAGGTTGCTTCATTTATGGCAGCTGTACCTCTAAGCTAAAATTCAGGATACAAGATCCAACGATAAAAAAGATTTCTTTGAAAAAAAATTTTTTTTTTTTTTTGAGATGGAGTTTTGCTCTGCTGCCCAGGCTGGAGCGCAGTGGCATGATCTCGGCTCACTGTAACTTCCGCCTCCTGGGTTCAAGTGATTCTCCTCCCTCAGCCTCCCAAGTAGCTAGTATTACAGGCACTTGCCACCAAGCCCAGCTAATTTTTGTATTTTTAGTAGAGATGGGGTTTCACCATGTTGGCCAGGCTGGTCTCAAACTCCTAACCTCAGGTGATCCACCTGCCTTGGCCTCCCAAAGTGCTGGGGTTACAGGTGTGAGCCACAGCACCTGGCATGTTTGGGATTTTATCAAATGTAATTTGTTCCCACTTAAGACATTATAGGCTTATTACAGAATATTTGAGAAATATAAGGAAAAAACTGAAAAAAAAAAAGAAAAAATGGAGAGAAAAACATCACCCATATTCCAGCTACTGAAAGGAAAACCATTTGTAACACTTGGTATAGTTACATTCATCCTTTTTATATGCCTGGGTTTTCTGCAGGGGAAGAGGGTGGAAAAAGGGTGGTTTTTTGTTTACATATAATCAAAATTATATATGTGACTTTACATCTTTATTTTTAAAACTTATTGTAATGTAAATACTTTCTCCATTAGTTTAAGACAGTTCAATGTCATTTGAAATAACTGCATCATATTCCATCAACTAGATATGCCATTCCACCTCAGTAGGACAAAGAAAAGACCATCTGGATTTGTGACTGGTCAGGAAATCCAAGACAAATAGCTACTTTTGCCATTTTTACACCTTACAATCTTTAACAATTTTTTTTTTTTTTTTAAGACGGAGTTTCACTCTTGTTATGCAGGCTGGAGTGCAACAGTGCAATCTCGGCTCACTGCAACCCCCGCCTGCCAGGTTCAAGTGATTCTCCTGCCTCAGCCTACCGAGTAGCTGGGATTACAGGCACGTGCCACCACACCTGGCTAATTTTGTACTTTTAGTAGAGAGGGGGTTTCACCACATTGGTCAGGCTGGTCTCTAACTCCTGACCTCAAGTGATCCACCTGCCTCAGCCTCCCAAAGTGCTGGGATTAGAGGTGTGAGCCACCACAGCCAGCCTAAAAAAATTTTTTTTAACCATCTCACCAGTGCAGTATGAAGAACCGTATAATCTTGACATTTAACTTGACACCCCCCAAACCCGCATATTCTAACCCCATGTCTCCTCCCCACCCTAGCTTCTGGGATGCTAGCTGGCTGGGGAGCTACTCCCAGCCAGTAATATGGGAAGAAAAATGACTTTCCTGCAGCCTTGGTAAGTGAGGAAAGAGAGTACAACTCCCGCCTAGGGAGCCAGGTATAAACAGATTTTGGCTAGAGAATGACTGGTTATGGCCCCAACACTGGACATCAGTGAGGGGCAGTGATGGGCAAGGAGTGGGGAAAGAATAGGAAAACACACATGAAGACAGCTCGACTCCTCATGGTCTATACCGCTCAGCCACACTCATAGAAAACTTATTAGGAGACGTGACTAAAGTTCAAACTACATATGCCCCAGGGAAGGGACTGTGTTGTCTACAAACAGGGAGGATGTCTTTACCAAGGCCCCCCATGAGCAGTGACAGCTCCCAACTCAAGGCATAGACTCAATTCATACTTGGCATCCCTGACCTGGCTCTTTGAAAGGACAAGGCACATACAGCTACCCACTTGTCCAAGTAACAAGGTCAGCCTTCAGAGGATGTTTCTTTGAAGCTCTCAATGTAGAACATGATCTCTCGGTTTTCTAAGGATGACTATGACTTTTGGAAAGAACTAAAAGTTATCTGGAATTACAACTAGTTAAAAATATGGTGGTCATGCTTGGGGATACCATTTGATATCCAAAAGCAGGGATATGAAAAAAGTTTCAAAAACAATTTTCTCACTTGGCTGAAAACCTGGCTCTGATGGAAACTTCTAGTGGTGGTTTACCGCAATGGGTAATGAGCAATGGGACATCAACAGTGCATGTGTATAGCCTCCCAAAGAGACAACACTGAAAGGAACATCCCTCACTTGGATGCGGGCATTCTGATACATTTGCTTCAGCCAGTTACATCCCACAGGCATGTTTCCCATTAAGAGCCTGGTGGGGCAGACAATGATTTGTCCTCAACTCCTCAGAATGAGTGTACTCTGCTGACGAGCCTCACCTAAGAACAGAGTCTCATCTAAAAACCGTCTCCTCTTCCCAGAGAAGAGCCTGTCCCCCGAGCTGAGCAACCTTGAAAGGCATTCAGTTGCCAGCAGCGTGCCCTCAGGCACAGAGTCACAGAGACCCCTGGGAGAGGAGACCTAAAAACCTGCACATGCAGACTGCTGCTGTCCTCAAATAAAACCTATTATCTTAAAAGCCTGTTTGCCAGGTTTCCGTGTTATCGGAAATCCCAAAGTACAATAGGATGATTTGAACAAAGACTTCCCTCTCCCTGGTTTGGGCTACATGAATGCTGATTATTTTGCTGGAGGGATGTGGGCTGAAGATGAAAACAGTGAGCTAGAGTTTGAACCCAACCTCCTCCCATCTGAAATGAACAAAAGAACTTAGGACTAGACAAAATGAGTCTGGAGATACCCAGTTGGAAAGTGACTTGATTTTCCTCTGAACTTCGTCAAGGATGTGTGCAGTGAGCCTGAGCAGGAAGACACTTTCTCTGTCCCTATCTATAAAAGGAGTGCTTCTGCTTCCTGCATATTCGGGACTAAATGCATATGACACTGACAGATGTAGTAAGAGAGGTTACAGATACAGAAGCTTTTTTTTTCTGTTGGGTCTGAAATTAGGTGGGTTTTGTCAATGGGATTTGGTTAATGGGAGCCTCTCAATCAACAGTGTGAGCTGAAGCAGAATGAAGGAATCAGAGCAAGATATCTATGATGCTGCAATAAGTGGTAACCAAGACAATGATCCCCACCTCTTCAGGACAGGTACACAGAGTCAAGCAAGCAGAGGGATTAGGCTGTACTTGTTGAGCACCTACTGCATGCATGCCAGGCACTTGGCCTGCATTATCTCACTTAACCCTGCCAAGTCAGTTTTAGTATCTCTATTTATAGAGGAGGAAACTAAGGCTCATAGAGACAAATAACTTATTCGAGATAGCAATTGGACTCCAAAACCTGGGCTTTGCCACAGAAAGACCCTATGGCAAGTCCCAAGGTCTGAGAGAAGCAGGCTTTTGCTCCTTTCAGCCC